CTTGAGTCAAATAGGTCCAATTTTGGGCGCTTAGTTGCGCTTACACCACGCTGCAGCACAGTAAAAGGCCACAACATAAAAGCATAAATTAGAATGCTTTGGAAATCATTAAAGTTGACACGGAACCACTATTATATTTACAAAAAACACATTATATTTTCCAGTAGTACATATTTCTTTTTCATCAGTTTAAAAGGGAATAATCAATGCAGAGAGTGCAACCATTTCAAAATCATGAGTGGAAAAACGCTGACTCCGCGAGTTTAAATATTAGAGCCAAACACAGAGCGGAGCGACGTGTTAGCAGCGCAGAACGCGCACTGGCGCCTACAAACCTAACGGGATACTTCACACATTGCGCAACGCGTGAAGTATCCCGTTAGGTTTGTAGGCGCCTATGCGCGTGTCAGGCTGGTTACCTACCGCGCCGCAACGCTTTAAGCAACTATTTCGCGTCAGAGGCGTTGCACAGTATCCTACAAGATTGAAGGCGCACGAAAGAACTAGTAAAAGAGGACTTTCAATTTTGACTGCATCTGTTAATGAAAAATGTTTAATTTGGCACTCGAGCGTTTCCTAGGCTCCCGCCTTGGTTTTCATCTTATCATATCCGTACAGTGTACACATGAACATATGTTTTTATCTGCTCTTAGAGCCTGTTCTCTTTCATGACTTGATTCATGAATGAAATGTTTTTAAAAATGAAGGTAGTAGTAGTATGCATTTATTTTTGAGGTGGTTCCTGTCATTTAAATGAGAAGAAAAAAATGTGGACATAACATGTCCACAATTTGGACAATTTTGGACGTATTCATGGTTGGACATTAAATCATGTGGACTTAATAAAGACTGGACTTTACGTTTAGTGGACATAAATAGCGGTGGACATTTATTTAATGAACGAAAGGTAGGTGGAAGGTCCTGGAAGCCTCTAAAATTTTACAACGGTTAGTCAAATATTATGAAATGGGACCGTGTTAAGCAGATAGGAACCAAGCCACATCAGCTATTGCCAAATATAATTGGACAATTTAATTATTACATGAAAACGGTTGTGAGGATTTTTGTGCGAATTTCAGTGAATTTTCTACTTAGTACGAAGCAAATTCCTTAAAATTTTCAAAGGAATCCGTACAAACGATCTCTTGTAAAAAATTAAATTGCCCAGTTAAATTTGGCAATAGCTGATGGTGACTTGGTTTCTTCCTGCTTAACACGGTCCAATTGTACCCTTCAAAATTTTACAACGGATTGTAGAGCATAATGGGTACCTCAAGGTTTGTGGTTCGACAGAGAACATTGGAGGTTAGGAGTCGTAGAGCGCGAGGGAGTGCTATAAAGCGACCTTCATGTATGTTGTAGAATATAATGCAATTTCATGGAAAGAAGTTATGAAATGTAACATATTTGAGCACCTTGGCGTACATGAGCATCTGAGTGCAGGAGGCCATCTCGCGATGAATGATTGTGGGGATGGTATCCGACCAGCTGAAACTCGTCCTCTCCACGTGGAGCAACTCGGTGGAAGAGAGGGCGAACATGGCGTGACTTGGCGGGAGCGGCAAGAAAGGGATCGGGATCACCGAGTTGAGAACCCGGTCACCCTGCTCGAAGCGCGCTGACCTGAACAACCCCCGACGAGCTCCCGACACCCCCAGTAGCAACAGACACAAGACACAGAGGGACCCACCAGTATAGACCGGGTGGTACATCATCGGTTGGGAATTATGTCCGACAAATCTGAAGCAAAGTATGGTCTAGAGGTGGATCTGGATAGAGTCCCTTTATACCCAGAGTTACGACAACTCACTTTTGGTTGGGCCAGGATTGGGCTGAAAGTGGCCTAAAAAAAAATCCAATTCTGATTGGTTCTCGCTCATGGAGGCCGAAACGAGTGCACCAAGATGGCGGTACCTCGAATGTGAACAAGAATAATGAAAATATTACCTAATTGTGGTTTATCAAGAGTAAATTGTTATTTCCATAGGTCCAAAATGAAAATAGATTAAGAAATTATTCACAAACCAATCTCATTTTCTTTTTAATTGATCACTTTGTTGATGTTGTTGTTTTTGTGTGACAGACATCGCAGGATTCCTGATCCTTATCCCTCAATATCGTTCGTTTGGGTGCACTCGTTTCGGCTTCCATGGCCAGCCAAGGCCGGCTGTCAGTCAGCTGATAATCGAATTGTCGTAACTCTGGGTATAAAGGGACTCTAGATCTGGAAGAGAAAGGACATGTCGAAATGTGGAGCTTTCAGGACCCAAGGCAGCTAACCTGGGTAAAAAAGGGCAGTAACATTTTCTGTGTTAGGATAAACAAAAAATGTCACCGCCAACCTTCAGATCCCGATATCAAACCAAGATGGCCGAGAATAAGCGCTCCTCCGCAAAAATGAGCACCCTCATTAAAAAACTAAGTCAAATACGTGTTTCATAAACGACGGGTGTAACATTTCGACGGCGTAAGTCCGCAACCACGTATCTCGTTTTCCCTGTTACACATATAAATCCATGCTTTCTGGAGCTCATCCAGAAAGCGAGATACGCCCTTACGTCAGAGGAGCGACGTTTTGTGCCCAAGAGCTCCGTATTTCGACAAGTCTGTATTCTCCCAGATCTTCTGCGCTTTTGAAAACGGGTCGATGGATGCTGAATCAACAAACGAGTTTTTCGGTAAATAGACATTTAAGGCTCGCAATGCAGCAACGATAATGTAAATTTGCGCACGATTTGCCGAAAATTTAATCAATTTACAATCCTTCTCTACACAGAAATGAGAAATTGAGCACCAGAGAGAGTAAGAATTTAAGAATTTTATGTTTCCTCTTCAAAATTCTCGCAGGACACGATTCACGCGACGTAACGATATTATTAATGTTTTTATTTTAAATTGGCAACGAACAATTTGAATTTCCCGCTCACATGAAATACCAGAGTCCTCTGACTACTTCAACTAATATCGTGCACTACAAAGGTTTTGGCGGATTTTTGGCTAGACTTTTTGTCAAATAAAAGAGACTTGAATGAGGCACTAGACGATCGTAATTACGAGACACCATTTTCAGTTGCGTTTTACAGACTGGTGTAAGAAGATGCGATCCATCACTTTTCGCAATGCTAATCAACGTCATAGCCTCTGTCATAAATGGCGTGCCTAACGTCACGTAACGTCAAGCCGCACACCGCGCGCAGTGTTTGACCTTAAAACCCAGTCAAAATTACTTCGTAGTTTAAACCGTTCAGCCCCGTTAAATGCTCATGCTCACATCCGAAACAATGTGCATAAGAGGTATATGAAAGACGCGTCATTTGATTTACAACGTCAATATAGTCCAAATGCTTCAAAAATGCTTATATTTGAGTTTAATATGTTTGATTTCTGCAGTTATCTGAGCTTAGTGTGTTCAAGCTTTGAACTTGCAGCGTCTCGACTACAAATTGTTTTTTTTGGTCGATTGATCCAAGAGGATCTCATCAAGAAATTTACTTTGTAATATTATGCGGCAAGATTTTGCTGCATCACCTATTTTTATCTCTCTCGACGAACCACTACGAAAATGAATTGATATATGCACATATTTACAACAGTATTTACCGACACACGAAAAAGACAGGTAAACAACCAAAGCTCCAGAGTAAATCACGGGAAATAAGAGCATGGGGTTCTTGGATGATACGGACATTTGCAATTAATTTTGGTAGTACCCCTATAAATTAGGCTACTAACTCAAATGATGTAGCACTTTACCCAAACTTAAGTTGCGGTACTACCGGAATCGGGCTCTCGACAAGGTACGAATTAAAACACTACGCAAGATTTAATCTATTCAAAATTTCGCGACAAAAACGAATCACGCAACGGGAAGTCTGAAAATCAAATCCTAAACAAGATCTAAGTAATAAACCGAAAGTAACGAAAACTAAACGAAACGAAACAAAAGGGAAATCGAGGTAACGAAGTGTGAGCTAAAAAATGAAATACAGAAAGTCGAAAACTAAAAAACTCAAATTCACAAAAATAAATTGAAATTGGCAATTTTAATTTATTTTTGTGAGTTTGAGTTTTTTTTAGTTTTTGACTTTCTTTATTTCAAGATCGAAGTGTTTACAATTAACATTGGTTAAATGGCAAAAATACAAACGACGTCATTTGTGTAATCGAACTTCCATTTGACCTGTGTTAAAAATGTTTGCTAGTATCTCGTTCAGGCGTAGTGGAGTAATACCAGAATTTTAGAAGATAACCCCTAATATTATTTTTCCGTGATACAAATCATCGCGATAACAGAGGTAAGTTACTTGTTTTTGCGTTGAACCAGTAAGATTTTGGGATCAAATTCTATTCATGGTATCATGGTATGGTACGATATACAGCACTTGAATGGATTGTATTTTGCAAAAAGGAACCACTAGCATTGCAATGTTGCTAAGGTTGTGCAACTTCTTTTGTCTTGGAGGAAAAACCCGATTATCCATTAATAGTTTCTAGTTTACTCGCTAAAAACTGTAAATTTAAGACAAAAATTACCATCTTTTCATAGTTTTTCACGATTTCCGCAATTTCATTGCAAAAGATTAAGTTGCACAATGTTAGCATCATTGCAATGCTAGTGGTTCCTTTTTGTAAAATGCGATCCAAATATTACTAATTATACACTGGGAAAAAACACATTGGATCTAGAGTCCAGACTCTTAAAAACATCGACACGAAAAAATACTCTTGATTCAATCAGATTTAAGCTTAAATGAAGAACCAAGCCTCTTAATTTGAGCGGATTTCCTTTTGATTTAAGCTTAAATCTAATTGAATCAAGAGTCCTTTTTCTTGTCAATGTTTTCAAGAGTATGGACTCTAGATCCAATGTCTTTTTTTCTTCAGTGTATTCTTTTATGTACATATTATTCTACCTCTCCTTCTCCATTGCTAACGATTGCTATTACGTGAGCTGTGGGTGAGCTCTAGCTGGAATGAATCTAGTGAGGAGGGAGACTCACTTTTGGTGCACTCGGCCCGTTTGATGGGGGAGAGGGTCTTGCTCTTGGACCAGATCGTGTAGACGATGACGGTGTAGCAGGCCGTGATGATCACCGCCGGGATGACGAACAGCGTCGTCGCCACCAACGTCATGTACACTTGCCACTGCCACTGCGACGAGAAGTCGATCCAGCACTGCAGCTTCTCTGCAAAACACAACATGCACTCCTCAGTAGTTTCAAATTAGTCGTAGGAAAATCAACGGGAAAATTCATGAAACAACGACAATCTTCTGCGCTGCGTATTGAGACATTTTTCCGCGCAGGGAGCGCCGCAGAGTGAATCGAATCAATGGAGATGTTGCATGCGTGAAGGATTTGCAATTTGACGATGGAGATGTTGCAAATGTGAGGAATTTGCGATTTGACAATTGATTCTAAGTAAAAGTTCGCAAGAAACACGATGGTCCCATTGTTTTTCTCTGAAATCAACTCCCAAGCTCAAAAAAGCTCTCAAGTTGAGGCCAAAATGGAGGGGATATCCCACGCTATCCTGAGAGTCCACCTCTACATCAAGACAAACTCTCCATGCAAAGATAGGGAGCAAATACATTGACAGGGCTGCCACTTTATTTGGGGACTCTAAGACTGAAAACACGGCAACACTTCTGATGTATTTGCTCCCTCTCTTTGCATGGAGATTTTGTCTTGATGTAGAGGTTGGACTCTCAGGATATAGCGTGGGATATCTCCTCCTTTTTGGCCTCATCTTGAGAGCTTTTTTTGAGCTTGGGAGTTGATTTCAGAGAAAACTAGTGGCACCATCGTGTTTCTCGCGAACTTTTGCATAGTGAAGTGACAATGTGAAGTAAACACTACGATCCGAAGTGTTCGAGTCGGTGCTCGATACGCAGCTCGCCCAGAGAATTTAAGCTGACTGTATAATATATGGTATCAGTTGTATTTGAAGGCGTTTGATGCGCAGTTGACTCACCGTACTCACAAACGCGTCGAACATGAAAAACCTCGGAATTTAGATGAATTGTAGAAAATTGCTACACACTGGAATATAAATTACATGAAGTTATCATTAAAAATAAAGTATCCTCTTCAATCGAGAGTGAAATTTCTCGAATCAAGCCGTTTTTTGCTCGATATTTAGGTGGCGTTCTTTTTTGAACCTATGAAACGTGTATTCTGCTTGTAAAGAAAAGTATTTTCATAACGGCAAATCAAAACATATTCCTACTTTAATGAACTCACTATCTTCAAGTGCAACGTTGTCAAATATTTGGAATCCCAAAAATTCGTTAATGACGATTGACGGCTATTTTCGCAAGTTAAAAACACTATTTTCCTTCTATTTAAATCCACTATGAAACTCGATTTAATGTGAGGCAGACTATTAAACCGAGAATCGATAAATACAGATTTCTTTCAACATTTTAAATGCTGAAACTGCAAAGATGCCAGCATGTATGCTAACCATTGTCAAAGAATTTCCGCAATTCGAAATATTTGACAACGTTGTACTGGAAAAAAAATGTCTTTATTTTAAAAATAAATATTTCCGGATTTGTCGCCAAAAGGGATCTTTCTTAAATAAAGAAGAAAACGTGCTAATATAGGAAAGAACGTATCTAAATATCAAGCAGAGACTGATTTGATTCAAAGAATTTATACTTGATGCAAAAGGAAATCTTGCTGTCGGTAAACTCAAGTTATTTTTTCCTCCAAAGTGTAACAATGTTACACGGCCCATCTAAATTCAGAGGGTTTCTTCCAAGGCGAACGCGATTTTGTAAGCAACACGAATATCCGTTCATCAGGAAAAGCTGTGACCAATCGTTGCGAATGAGCAGACCAAAACACCTGCAATGTTGTGTGTATGCAATATGGACATCCCTAGAGCACGAATAGTTGTATCGGTGATACCCGTAAGAATGCCATAGCGCCTTCAACTGGCCCTCTTGGATAATGAAATGTGGATGCGTCGTCAATGCGTTTGCATCTGATTCATTCTGACAGGATCATATTTGATACTAAAATTGCTTTGTCTCTCAAAGATAATGCACTCTTAGTAATTAATTAAATAAGAAAAATAAATTAATTAATTTAGAGAGCATAAAAGAATTAGGGAACTAGTTTTCACGATAGCTAGTTTTATTGGCAAATGGGAAATGGCAATTGACGTTTTTCTTTCCTTAAAAGTGTCTGTATAATTGATTCTAATGTATCCTGATCGTTGGATTAATTTAATATTGGTCGCTCTACGATTACATGTCATAGACTTCTGAAATCATATCAAAAAAGTTTTTATTTATTCAACTAAAAACAAGCAGCATACTGCTCGAAACTTGTGGTTTTCTACCGGCAATGGTGAAAACGTAAGGTTGACAACTTTTGAGACTCTCCCTTGAAAACTTTTTGTGGAATAATTGATACCGAGAATGATTATTCCAAAGAGAAAATGAGAGTCCCTATTAAATAGGAGAAGTGCGTGACCACCAGATCTTCCGGCACTTTTTTTTAAACCAATCAGACACTCGACGACCACTTTTTCATTTCTTATGGGAGATCGAAACCATATATTTTTTGAGCTCTCTGGTCAAAAACAGCGACCCGAGTAGAAGAAAATTGACATTTTCAAAAATCAAGATCTTTGGCTTTGGACAAGTGGAACGTATTGTGCATCCTCCGGGACCATCGGCAAATCCTCCAGAAGTCAGTCGTGAACATTTCTCGGCCAAAAAAATGACGGAATTCGAACAAAACATATGGTTTTGATTTCTCATGTTATTTCCCATAAGAATTGAAAACATTGGTCGTTGGGTGTCCGATTGGTTAAAAAAAAAGTGCGGGAAGATCAGGAGGTCTGCACTTTCCCTATGCAATGCGGACTCTTATTATCTTTTTGGATTATTCGTGCATTTTTCCAGCAGAAATTTTTAGCACAAATTTGAAATATTGTGCAGGCCAGACAAAGACATAAAGACGGAGCGCTAAAAGCAAAAAATGAAGCTTCTTTTGAACCACCTCTACTATTGGCTAGAGGATTGGCGGCAAAATCGGGACAAATTTGAAATTAAAATGTAGGGCGGGAACTGAATAAAATTGCGTAAACAAAGTATTCTAGGTTGGTTTTCGCCCAGATTCACTTACCCACATATATTTCGCTAACTTTAGGTTATTTTTGGTCCGTCCTAGACCAATTAATTTCATTTGGGAGTAACGGTCATCTAGGACTGTTTGAACCGGCAGGACCACCATGAGCAGAAAAAAAACTAACTTTATCTGAGATTACTGCCTATTACCGAGCAAAAGTAGGTGTATTATAAAAATTCAATGTCCCAAATTTCTTAGTATATTCGTTGTAGGCATTTAAAACACGTTTAGAAGAAGAAATGTGGAAAAATCAAGAGGACAAGTTCAAATCAAATTTCCGTTTGCCGCCATGAATTCCCGCGCTCATTTACACACTCACACAAGCACCCAGCGCATAACCAAGCTTCACTTTTTCCCCGTGCTTTTAGATACGAGCACTCCGTCTTTATGTCTTTGAGGCCAGACGATGACATTCTTAATTATTCCCTCAATTTGATAATAATTGTATTTACCTTCTATGAGTCGTTCCTCGAAGAGGACGATGAGCGGCGAGGAGAACAAGGCGCTGAGAGCCCACGCGAAGAGAACGAGAAGCCGCGCTCTCCGCCCTGCAACATGCAAAACAAACAAGTTCAAGAGAAAACGTGGAAGAAAGCATTCGAGGAGCCGACAGAAAAACCAAAAAAAAAAAAAAAAAAAAAAAAAAAAAAAAAAAAAAAAAAAAAAAAAAAAAAAGTAAAATCATTCAACAATCGGATCCAGAAGGACAATAGATGAAAATAACCTGTGAATCTATACCCGACGTGCATTTCAACGTCCGGTGTTGCCACAAAGGTCATTGGACGAGATTGTCGTATTGCCTATCTGATTTTCTGCAGGCGATTTTCTTGTTGGAAGACTACTCGCATCTTATTTGGACGTATTTCTGTCAAACGGAACTAAGCGCCACAGGGGGAGAGAGGTAGAGGGGGGCTTGGATTGGCGGCGGAATTGGGCGTCGGGTTCATTCCGTCCTATACTTCGCAATGCTTTTCCATGGCGCTTAGTTCCGTTTGACAGAACGCGCTATCCGGCACTCTAAATTCCCCAAAAGGAACTCAAATTTGCGCTTAGTTCTGTTTGATAGAAATACGTCCATTTACTTCCCGTAAGATGAGGTTAGGAGGGGAGGCAATCCGAGGTAGGTAACTATATCTCGACGGTGAAATGGGTCACTAAACTCTGTACTAAGCGCCGATAACGACCGGCGATTCCCGAGAACAGATTTGTTTAGAAGGATATTTAAAGGCACCGAATGGCAACGCAAAGCCTCGAAGTTTACGTGATGAAGCAGCATGGATCGTTTTTCAATTTTCCAGCGAGGTTAAACACGTACTCACCAAGAAAATGTCGTCAAAAGGAAGGTAGACAGAAAAACCCGTCCCCCATACCAACGCGTGACAAGCACAGCTATGGTTAATGTTAAAAGACGCACACCATGCATGCTATCGTTGTGCTACATTCAGTAAATCTGTAATCATTCCTAAAAAACATAGCCTTGTTTCGGGTATTTCACCTTTTTCAAAGGAAGGAGTGAGGTAATTTTCCTTTTTCGTCGCCTTGTGTGAACATCGAAACTATTGTCTCAGGGAGAGAAAAGGGCACTTATTTGAAACGACACAGAACAAATGAAGTGTTGTGATATTTCCAGTTAATGGACCACCAGACAAGGTACGAATTCAAGCATTCTGGTACATTTTTCTTAACCAGAATTTCATGTAGAGCACGATTCGCGCAACGAAAAGTAATGAAACAAACTCCAAACGAAGATATTGGTTACGAGGAATTTGAACTGCCCGCTGACAAGAAACTCAAAGCTCTACGTGAGTCAAATTGCGCACTACAACGGTTTCAACAAGCTTCTCAATCGAGTAATGTTCATTTCCCACCATGTGCTGTTCAAACTATAAGGAATTTGCTACAGCTGAGCCAAAGCGTCAAGATTGAGGTTGCCAGATTTTTATATCGCAGAGACTGTCATGATAACGTTTAGCGCACGATGTGAATCAAGCAGAGCATTGAGTTTTCATGAGCGGGTGGTTTGAATTCACGCATCAAGAATCATTAAATATCTTTGGAAGGAGTTGATTTCGGTAATTTTCGTTGTGCACGTCGTATTCTACGTAAAATTTTAGTGAAGAAATATGTATCAGAATGCTGAAATTCGTACCTTGTCTAGTGGTCCATTGTGGCAGTGCCCCATTAAACTAGGTTACGAACTTAAATGTTGCGGTAATATCCCAATTTCAGTTGCGGTACTACCACAATCAATTAAAATGTCCATATTATCCAACACATTGGGTTAGTGCTACAATTTTAGGAGATAACCCCTAACACTTTTTTTCGCGAAGTATTCCGATTTCGTCTTGGAAATTTTCTCTGATTTATCTTGCTTAATTTTACTTGGTTCGAGGAGGAAAGTTAAATGATAACAGTAGCTGTCCAGCGGGCTTGTTATTAGAATTGGTAGACAAAACGTTAAAGTTAAAGATGGACAAGGGAAAATGGTGCGATTTTATTGGTAAAAGCGGGTGGTTGTAACGGACCAAGGAGGTGAGTAACGACAACCCCCGGTGCCCTATAACGAAAACATTGCATTTATTCCCTTATCATGAGTAAACCGACCACTCTTGTTAACCGATGAGATCGCTCCATTTTCTTTTTGTCTACTGCTCTGTCTATCAATGTGAGAAGTCAGCCCGTAGGTCATTCAGAAAGCAGGAGCCTCAATGGCTTCGATTCTTTTCCCCAAAAAAGGCAACTTCCAGCATTATTTTGTCATTTTTAACCGGTCTCTCATAGGTCTTAACTAATTGGGGTTGACTAGTTCTTGGAACTAGTTCCTAATTCCGGAACTTTTGAGTTTTTCCTGAATTTTTCCGGATCTTCTGAATTTTCCGGAACTTTCTTGGAACTTCTGCGAACGTCTAAGAGGAATCCCGGAACTTTTGACGGTCATAGAGTGAGAGATATTACAACAAAAAAGTTCCGAATTCCGGAACTTTTGACGGACATGGAACGGGAGCACTGCATTTCAATGGAGAGGCCAGAGTAGCCTATCAGTTTGATGAAATCCAAATACCGGAATTTCAATAACCGAGTAAAACAGGGAATTAAAGGAAGGAACGTCGAGTCAGACTATTTGATGCAATGAGCGAAATTCGTCAGCTTTTCTTGAAATTGCAGTGGCTGTAAGCAAGTGTCTTGTAAGTTTAATATTTTGCTCATCGTCGGCGAAACAAACTTGTTCAACGAGGCCGTGGATGCATACTCGGAGTGAAACATGCTCGCGTAGTTACGATATGCTCGCTTTTAGGGAGCATTATGCCCTTTTCGGAGGCTTGTTGTATGTGGCAGGCAGCGGCAGCATTTCATATAAACGAGTTGCTGGCGCGTGGCGCGGAATATTGTTTCCCGTCTCCGAAAGGAAAAACTCCGGAAAAAACCCCTAGTGATGTGAGCTTACAGAAGTTTAGGCGTTGCTCTCCGCTTCCGGAGACCGAGCAATTAACAGGCAAAACTATTCTGCCGTGCTAAGGGAGAACGCCGTATGAACCTCCAGACGTTGCCAAATTCCTTTCGATAAAAACCGAATTCACTGGGAAAATTGTGAATATTTTTTTCCAAAATCGTTAGACAGTTTTGTTCGTTATTTAATATATCATTTATTCTGAAATATCTGAAAATTTAAGGGGAAAATAGACCTGAATTTCCTAAAAAATGAAGGTTTAATCAAGGGAAATTTAACAACTCTCGAATGTTCATACGGCGTTCTTCCTTAGCACGGCAGTATTGTAAAGGGTGCACATGGTGCGGTTATGGTTACAGTTTTGTATCTGTGGTGAGCGTAAAGCTGGATTCTAATCCCACAATGGGTCACTGAAACATGAATGAATGTTGACTTGCGAACACTTAATTCTGAGGTTAAATTGCGCGTAGAATATGATGCGCACATTAAAAACGCGCGAAAAAGTTAAACAGAAACCGAGAAATACGCGGTTCCAGAGTCGCAAATTTTCCGCTAAGAACGCCTCGGATTCGCGCTGAACCGAATGACGTCATCTGGCACCAATTAGAAGCGAGCATGAGTTTCCACGACTTCCGTCAAAATGTCTCTCTGCTCCTCGTATATTTGCATGAAAACAAATGGAGCGTCGAAACTTCACCTACAGGATCAAAGAATCGAATCCTGTTCATGTTATCCGTTGAAACAAAGATACTCGTAAAATCAGCCCAAAACGGAAACGACTAGCGAAAACACAGGAAAATTCGGAAACAAGGCTGGTTTCCAATACCAATTTCACCATGTAACGCCGTTTGTTGAATTTTTATTTTAATTAATTTTTAATTTTTAATTCTATTTTAGCAGTTGATAATGGTGCAGTAAGGTACCGAAACGTCCTGCCTTTGTATTTTGTATTCTAGCCTTGTTTCCGCATTTTCATGTGTTTTCGATTGTTATCCGTTGTTAACATGCAAGATACAATTTTATTTGACAAACATTAGTGGAAAATAAAAGGAGCTGGCGCGATTTGACTCCCGCATGCTGTAGGACACAACTTCCATCATTTTTCCGCCATTCCGGCGCCTTTGGAATTCTTTTGAGTCTTTAGAATTTTTAAAATGAGCTTCTCCAAAATGTCGGCTCCAAAAATATCCGATAAACCACCAAGTAATCACCGGGTTTCAGAATATCAAATAAAAATCACATGGTTTAGTGATCCATTTTGATACAACCGGCAACCGCGCTTAGCATGAAATTCCATGTAAAATTTGCCCGAGTTTTGTAGAAACGCACAAAATTGCAATTCAGAGAGAATGAGTCGGGAATAGATTCCACCTATTTGTATTATATTAGTTCAAACGTATTTTTTCATCGTTTGAATATCTGATTTGGGAACATATCGAACGTTTCTCGCTGTATATTTCACCAATTTTTTCTGAATAAATGCAGATATCAAAATATATTAGACAGGAAGTACAATCATTTTCTTGTAAAAAATTTAAAGTTGCATCTAATATTACAACCTTGGGGTGAGGTTAAATTTATTTGTCTGGGAAACAACGTTAAATCGTCGCTCTTCTGACGTAAGGGCGTGTCTGAATTTCCGCGAGAGCTCTGTGCTCCGTATAACTCTATGCTTTCTGGAGCTTTTGTAAAAATAGAGATACGCCCTTTTACTCCAGGAAAAAAACGAAATCTAGCAACGTTGCTCGAACTGAGTTTTCAGCAATGAAGAGACCACTCAAGTTGGTTAGCTCCTGTTATCGAGTCTAAACAGCGGTGAAATAGTTTTGGGTGGGGATGCGGGAAAAGTTTCGGACGGGACTTTAATTGAGCAGCGCTGCAGACAGGGCTGGGAGCGCGGGAGGAGAGTGAAAAAGGGGGTGAAGCTGTAGTGAAAGGGCGATGAGACTAGTGAAAGTGGGATACTCACAGCTGCCGGAGAAGTTCATCGGGTGGGTGATGGCGTCAAACCTGTCGATGCTCAGCGCCACGAGCACGTACGTCGACGAATACGTCACCATCGCCTGGAACACAACCCATAACGTCCGTCAACAATCTTTTCGTAGGTTTCGAAGGGCCGGTGAAATTAGTAATAGAGAAGAAGAGATAGGACAATATATACAGTAATCATTAGTAATAGTGAAGAAGGGATCCCATCCCATCCCATCCCATCCCATCCCATCCCATCCCACCTATAATAGTTACCCGACCTGTCGTCAATTCTTTCGTTCACGATAACTATCGTTAGGTTTACGTTAGCCTATTCAAATTTTGTGATTTTGTCCATTTTGGTCTTATAAAGAACTGTATAGATTTTTGGTTAAATCGCACTTACCGTTTACTTATAAACGGTAATTAACGTAAGTGCCCTACTTACGCTGTTTTCCCCTAATCTGTCTTCATGAAAGTTCCACTCCTTGGTTTCCTCGGTAACCTTTGTTCGCTATCAGCTGATGTTTTTTTTTGAATGGCATTACTGTTATTCGTATCCCGTTGCCTGAAGGCATTGATTCGCCTTCAAATGGCCGGGTATGCAAAATGTTTGCCGTGACGCACGAATAGTAGTATCAGAGTTTTGCATTAAGTTTACGGATTGATTTGAAGGCGCTTTTCTGCATCCGTTGTGAGTGGTCCTGCACAATGATGTTGACCAGAAAGTTCATAATTTTGGGTTTTAAATCGAACCGCATATTCGAAAAATGCCGACGAATATTATTTTGAAAAAATAATATGATTGTTTTTGGTTTTCTATGTCTTATTTCAAGGAAAAGAGCGCAGGCGGCTGGATGAGATTGTGTATTTTAAGTCCCTTGGTTCGGTCATTGTATTCTGAAGCGAAAGTGAAGGAGTCGCCGTTTACAAGATCGCAACTTACTTAAAAGCGGTTGTGAATTTAAACACTTTCGCACGGATAAAATGTGCTTTCTTTGATTAACTGTGTATAATCAAAATTGAAGAAAAGGTACTTTGTCCACTTGCCCATTAGGAAAGCGTAAAGCATGGATGGATGGAGCATCGATGACCAACTAAATATTATCTGATAGGGAATTTTAAGTGGGAAACCTTCTTTTCAATCTTTAAATGATCCAAATCCACCGACAAGTTTAAACTAATAATTGCAAAAATGCGTATCTTCTGATGAATTGTCGATTCTTAGTTCCAAAAACGCGAATCTCGGCATTTCTGCCGTATTTTCTAGCAGTTCGAGAGATTATTGAAACAGCTGATGGAGTTTGAAAAAACAGTTTATTCTTGCTATCCTCAAGAATTATTACCCGTCTACCGACCATAAAGAGAAAAGCAAACAGTTTTTTTACTCTCCTGGAAAATCGTGTTTTCCGAGATTCGCACTTCTGCACTTTCACCATAGATAAAGTGCTTTAGTATTGTTTAATTAACATTTGCACAGGCAGTGATTGTGATTGTTCAGTCAGTATTTTTTTTTCTCATTAATTTCTTCACAAACATTCTCAGGTATATATGTTGCAGGCAATTAGCAATCGTCGGCAAATTGCAATCTATTCGTGTTTAATCAACAAATTAATTCGTTTTAAAGTGAAAAACGAGATTGGAAGTAGGGATTATTATGCTTTGAATTCAAACATACGTTAGCCCCTCCTTCTTGGATCCATGGTGCCAGCTAGCACACTCGCGAGTTCGTGAAATGTCATCAATAATCTGTGTTAGGTTCGGTTAGGCAACTAAACTAACTTCTTGGCTAAGCGGAGAGTATCGCTGGATTTGAAGGCGTAAAGAAATCTTTACTATATCGATGTTATCGTAATTACAATTTGACGAATTGACAAGTACGGAGCTTGCAAATTGCTGGCGATTACTGACTCCCTGCGACTTATACACTGATAAAGATTTCAGAGATATTTATTTCCATCTTTAAGTTTACATGTACTTTTCTCTCTTTTAATCAGCATGTGTGTTTCTTTTTTCTTACAAGATTCTACAAGAAAAAATACGTAGGAGTCGGTGTACTACAGACATATTAGGTGCATTTAATCATCCATAAATCAATAATGAACAATTTCAATCTCAAAAAATCGTCGATTTTCCGTGAAGAATCTTACAAAATCGATATAACCGATCGATATATCGACTCGTTAACATTAAAACTCTATTTTGCGTGTAAAAATACGTAGGAACCGGTGTATATAACATGTGTAAACAACGGTAACAACCCTGTAGACACATCAATTCAACAAGAAAATAGCGGAAATTAAGGCTGGAGTTTGACCCCTTTGTCCCCCTCCCCCCTTGTAACTCGAAAACGGTTACTCATTTTGAAATTTTTTCCTGAGTTTTCTGTTATTATAAGCTTCCACTTAAACCTGGGTTCGATGGTCGAATCGAATACCGAAAAAGGGGCGAAATTTTGGGAGGCTCTTTTTCTCGGCTGTCTCCGGGAAATTGGAAATGACGCGAAAAATCGAGTTTCTCTACTTTTTTTCTAATATATCTCCGTTCCAACGCAAAATGTCAAGGAAAAACGTTTATTCAAAATTATAGTCGATAAAATTACCTAATCTTGCAACCGAATCAATTTTTGATTCACCAACCAATTTTCCTCGGCCAACTATCACCGTCATAATATCACCGAGTGGATGCCGCCGAATACAGAGATGGCATCTTTAGCGGAAGAGGGTAATAAACAGAAGTGAAGCCGTATAGCAACAAATTCGTTCAGGATCAATGACGATCGCCAGGCGAGGAGAAGTTTAGAAAAAAGATAAAAGCGCGAAGTAGGAGTGCATCAGTCATGGGGAGTTTAGTCCGTGACACCGTTTGTCCATTGAATCTGAATAGGTACCCGCGAGCAATGAAGCCGTCAATGTTGCATTAACGGGCCCCGAACGCCATTAAGAGGACTTACGATTGATTCTGTTTGTTCGGGTCCTTGAAACTTCCTGTCCGGAATATTCGAATAGTGAAGCGTCACGGCCGGACTCGCCGAGTGCATCAGCGGGCTTTTCTCTCGATTATAAGGCCTCGATAGACGATCAAATTCCCGAACCAATTCCGATCAAAGTAGCATCAAAGTGTCGGGAGTCATCAGTCTTAAACTCATTAATTTGCTTGATTTTAAAATGAAAACTTGGCAGAAATGTTTCCTGTGGCAGGAAATGATGAACGGTGGCACTCCGTTTTGATCTTACTTCAAACAAAAAAGTGCGGCCCGTCAAAATTTGATGGTAGATGGTGACCACCAGTCATCAGCACGTCTACTTTGATCGGAATTGGTTCGGAATTTGATCGTCTATGCAGGGCTATACTGCCGTGCTAAAGAAAAACGCCGTATGGCCCCTCAGGCCTTGCCGAATTTCCTTCGGTAAAACACGAATTTACTGGTAAACTTATGAATATTTTTCCTCCAATTTTTCAGATAATTTTGCACGCATTTTCATCGGAAAGTCCTGAAAATTTCGAGGGAAAATATTCATAAATTTCCTCGATAATAAACATTTTACCGAAGAAAATTTGGTAACTCTCGAATGTTCATACGACGTTCCTGTCGTACCCGTCGTGGTTGTTGCAATGTCACATGAGAGGGGCGCGGTTTTCCCCGAAGTTCAATACTGCCGTCCGCGTCCACTATGGAAAAACGCCTTATAAACATTCGAACGTTCCTACATTTCCAGCAATAAAATATGAATTCTTTAGGAAAGATATGAGTATTTTTTTTTTTAAATTTTTAGGTAATTTAGATCGAATTGCGCATTAAATTATTTGAAAAATTGATGGTTGGTTATCCTTGAAAACATTAAAAAACATTGAAGACTTTTATCATCGTAATCTGAAAAACGCATTTCCAATTTTTATCAATGCGTAACCGTCAATAGAAAGCGAAACATTAGTCGACGAAAACAAAATGTTTAGTGGAGCGATTTCTGTAGAGTTCCGTTGAATAATCAAAAATGGAGAATCCCACATATAATTTGGTTGAAAAATGAGAATCCCGCATATAATTTGAAGACATCTAAGAGCACAAAGATTGCGCGTCACCTCGATGGGTAAAAACAGATCCAAAGTAAACAACAAAAAGCTACATCTACCCAACAGTAACATTTTAGCAGCTTACCTGTAAAAATCTAATTAGTTTGCAAGCTAGGTTTCCCGCTTTCCAGGAAACCGACATCCTCCAAAGAATGTCTGTCAGCACACTAATGAGACCGACTAGGAGATCTGAAATCAAAATATGCGTGTTAATTTTGTAATCTCCACCCAAGAACTACATAAACGTAGAAACATTGATAACATGGGTCCGTTGTGCGTATAAACTTTAACCGTCTGGGTAGGTTTTGCAATTTTAAATCGCACTAAGACCACTTTTTCGGCACACCAAAAAAGTATGAGATCAATGCCTTAACAAGAAAATCCGTACAGTTCGTAGCTGCATTTTCAAATTTTGAACTTTTTTTCTTCATTACCGCCAATCAGAGGATCTCTTTGAGAGAGATGTGAAAAACTTAGTCTACAAGAGGAAAAAATCTCAGAGCCAACTACTATACGAACCCTTCTCACGTGTGCTTTTAATTGTGCCAAAGTTTTTCTTGCTTCGTATTGAGGGGGAAAAAGAAAGAGTAAATGTTTCATACCGTTAAAATCACAAGTAAAAAAGATCGCTAGTATCTTACGAATTTTTAAAAATGTTTTTTGTCTGTTTACGTTGAGGATTCTTTTTTTAAAGCATCTCTCTTGTGATAAACATGTTGTCGGTGATTAAACAAAAGTTGCGGACGTGGGAAGTTCGAAAATTTGCGAAAAAGTGTGTGTCAAGGAGTGAATTGTAGACATTTGCGATTTTCTCAACGTGTTTTGCGTGTGCCGTTACTTTTGAAACATTACTGAGGTGACTGTGCCTCTTTGAGTGCAATAAATCCATTAGAATTAAAGTAAATTGGACAAAAATGACCGGACATCAGCTACCTTCGTTAATCTCAAAAAGAACGTACGTATCATTACTTCCTTTCTACAGCCAGATGTTTAACAGATGACACATGTATTGTTAAGGACGGTCTCGGAAACCAAGTGACGAAAATGGAATAAATCTCCTCCTGATTTATTGATTCCTATTTTTTTTCCTGATTCAAGTGAACAACAGGTGTTTGATATTATGTCTTGTGGTTTCCCCTGATTCTTATGATGTTTACTTCTATATTGTTTATAACGTATCAGTGAGCTAAACCTAATGAAAGAAAGTTGTTCAGCCGATTGCTACATCCATATATGATGATAAACAAAATAGAGCTAAGTAGCCAAAGAAGCATTTTATTATCATTAAAAAATTCTGCAGGAAAAATGCATCTTCGCCTAATTGGCTCTGTTTTATTTATCAAAACCTAATACGTACATTTCAACGTTTTCAGTTTGTGTAAATAGATTCCCCCCTTTTCTGAAGGGCAACCAAAACTATAATCAAAACCTGGTACTCATGTTCAAACTTTTCAGTTTGTGTAAATAGATTCCCCCCTTTTCTGAAGGGCAACCAAAACTATAATCAAAACCTGGTACTCATGTTCAAACTTTTCAGTTTGCGTAAATGTTTTCCTCGACTTTTCTCGTGAGGAAATGAACATAATGCATCGGTCAATACTTTTAACAGAAAACAATAAAGGAAAAAAACCCTCCGCACTTGAAAAGTGGTGCTGTTATGTTAAATAGTCTTTCGGAAAAAAAGCTCTGCAACAAACATTTTGACGATGAAAGACTCTTGGATATTTTACAATGGATTTTGGTTTCAAGTTGCCTTCCAATACAATCGGTCACCGTTTAAAATGGCTTACCTGCGAGAGCTAGTTGCATGATAAAAAAATTCATCCTAGATTTTCGAGACTTGCTAAAGAATAAGGCCACCAAAACTGCTGTGTTCCCGAGCACTATGCTCGTGAACAGGATCCAAAGCACTGCAAATTGCTCCTTCTGAAACATAGATCATTCGAGAATAGTTTTAAAATGATGTATTAAGCGGGCACATGAGAATACAGCAGTGGATATGAATTTAAGCATTCTCACATCTGTTCCCCTTAAAAATTGTATGTGCTTCTCGATTTATGCTACAAAAATTACAAAAATTCACTTCAAACCAAGTGGATGCCAAAGCTGGGTCAAACTGACCAGCGGGCGATTATTGAATTTTTTTTTTTTTTTTTTTTTTTTTTTTTTTTTTTTATTTATTAAACATATCAACTTCTGTACAGAAATAAGATATTTAGATAAGGAGTGTGGAGCTATCCTATTAGTTGAAATGGGTGGTTCCTATAGACTAAGGGAGAAAATGATGGGCTAACCATCGGGTCCCTCGTGGGTTGCCGTTAGTTAGTCTATTACCTTCCTCCTTTGTCCATTGCAACCACACGTTTCCACCAATAGGATCCTTCCATATCTCTTTTGTCTTCTTTGTCTATGGCTTTGTCTATCAATTTCAATAATCGGCCCGCAGGGGCTCGTTAAAAACACGTGCCCCGCGGGTTTATAAATTATTAAATAGAGTGACGACGGCAAAAAGAGAGCGTTAGTCGAAAAACTTACTAAGTCTTAGTATCTCTATTCCATAACGTTTAGCATGATTTTTGAACTTCATTAGAGGAAAACTGACTTCATTAAAGCAGTAATTGGTCAAATTTTCCGCCGAGAAGATTTCCTATTGAATCAATGAAGGCAATAATGATTGTTTAAAAAAGAAAATAGGCTTATATAAAACGAAAAGTCACATCAAGTAGAAACTCGCATTCATTTAGCTTCTTTGTTCTTGATTCAAAATGAAATCTTCTTGATCGTATACTCAACGATGTTCCTGCCTAAATCAAGTCTCATTTTTTTCTAGGGTAATTCAAAAATTATGCTAAACCTTATTAAATACGGATGCTACAACTTAGTGAGTTTTTGGACTACTGTTGTCTTTTTGTGCCGTATTTTCTTGATTTATTTTGCGAGGAAAGCTCTGTTTTCTTATAGGATGCCTGTCATTCTTCTTTTGTTGGAGCGCCTTCAATTTCGTATGTTACAGCCCAATACCTCTGTTGTGAAATAGTTGCTTGAGGCGCCGTGGCAGGCTGCGGCGCAGCGGGCGGCCGGGCAGTGCCTACAAACCTAAAGGAATACCTCAAGCATTGCGCAATGCGTGAAGTATCCCTTTAGGTTTGTAGGCACCAATGCGCGTTATGCGCAATGCGTGAAGTATCCCTTCAGGTTTGTATGCGCCAATGCGCGTTATGCATTGGCAGTACGCGCCTCTCCGCTCTTGGTTAGGCTCTAATATTTAAACTTGCGAATTCAGCGGTTTTCGACTTATGATTCTGAAATGATTGCACACTCTGCATGGATTATTCTAATTTAAGTGGTTAAAAAAATGTGTATTAAAGGAAAGTATAATCTTGTGTCTTGAAACCATCAAGGTGGTTCCGTATCAAATTTAATGATTTCCAAAGCACTGCAATTTTTTCTTTTATATTTTGTGTTTTTACTGAACTGCAGCATGGTGTTCGCGCAACCAAGCGCTTAAAATCTGACGTATTTTACTCGAAAATATCGATGTACAAATGGGTTAAACCCAAATTCTGCGTGCTTCTTCAAGAGGGAAAATTCACTAAAATTCTCTACGCCTTTTTGGTGCAAAAGGACTTAATTATCTTTCAATGAAATCCCATCTTATTATACCTGAACCGGATGAACCTTTTGATTTGTCTAAGCTAAAGGCTCTTAGATTTTTCCTGTGTACGATAACTTCGCGACAGCGCCGGCGTATCATGGCGCCTCGAGCTACTGTTTTGCCACGGAGGTGTTGCACAGTATCATTCGAGATTTAAGGCACCCCAACGTATCATGATTGATGGCATCTTTCAAAACCACGAAGTTTCCTCGCGGATTATATCGAGTGAAGACGACAAAAAGAGAGTCGGGAAACTTACAAAGTCCTAGTATCTGTATTCAATGACTTTTAGCATGATTTCTGAATTTCATTAGAAGGAAAAGTGACTTGATTCAAGCAGAAGCATGTTCAAAATTTACCGCCGAGAAGATTTCCGTATGCATCAATAAAGAAAATAACGCTTGTTCAAAGAAGAAAATATGCTTAAATAAAAAAAGGCACTCACATTAAGCAGAAACCAGCTTTCATTCAGCTATTTTATTCTTGATACAAAATAAAATTTTTTGACGGCATACTCAAGAATGCTTCTGCCTAAAGTGAATCACTTTTTTTCTAATGAGTTTCAAAAATTATACTAAACTATATTAAATACGGCGCCCTGGCACGCTGAGGCGCAGCGGGCGGCCGGCCAGTGCATATTAACCTAAAGGGATACTTCAAGCATTGCGCAATACGTGAAGTATCCATTTAGGTTTGTAGGCGCCAGTGGGCGTTTTGCGCTGGCAGCACACGCCGCGCCGCTCCGCTTTGAGTTAGGCTCCGATATTTAAACTCTCGGAGTCGTCGTTTTTCAACTCACGATTTTGAAATGTTAGCACACACTGCATGGATTATTCTCATTTAAATTGATGAAAGAAATATGTATTAAACGAAAATAAAATGTGTCTTTTGTAAATATTAAGGTGGTTCCGTGTCAAATTTAATGATTTCTAAAGCATTTAAATTTTTTCTGTGATATTTTGTGCTCTTATTGTGCTGCAGCATGGTGTACGCGCGACCAAACGCTCAAAGTTGGACGTATTTGACTCTAAAATATAGATGTACAAATGGGTTGAAACCAAAGATTGTGTGCTTCTTGGTTTTTTTTCTCTTTTATTGATTTTTGTATAGTTCTTTCAACGCACCTACGGCTCATTGAGATTAATATCGACGACATCGCTCGGAAAAGGTTTTACAAATATTTGCCACGTTTGAAAAATGTAAATGTTTTTAAAATGAACTAACGTTTCCATTTTAAAAAAAAGTAAAAAATGGGAATTTATACGGTATATTTTATATTGAAAATGTTAAAGATAGAAATTAAACCAAATATTCACCGATGACAATTTGGAAAGATGAATCAAAAGAAGAGAGTAACATTCCATTTAAAAAATGAATTATTATAATGACACCTCCTTCTCTCTAAACTGTCTCATTTTGCTATTGTCAATATAATTTTACATACGGACTAAAATATAACGCTTCTACGAAATCACTGTTGCTTATTTAACGCGTGGACGTAAACTACTGGACAAAACAGGTGCGTGGACCGAACATTGTTGACACCGAACATTGTTGACACCGAACAATGTCCTGAAATGAAAATAGACGAGTTTTTTAAGTAAGCCTATCTTACAATTTTATTTAGCGCTTTGGCTAGCTGCTGATAGAACAAATATATCGGACTGCTTAAATTCGTCCCTTGTCTATAGAGTCAATATTTCGTATCTGCGTCTGTTCTCTAAATTCGATGTGAAGCAATACAAGTGAAAATTGGTTTCATAAAAATTTTGCACAAAATGTCATATTGTTCTCATGAAAATCGATGGCCTATTGCATTGCCTCGCAATGCTGAATCCTACAATATACCTCAAAACGAGGTTGTTGACTATGATACCACTATTCGACCGCGAGTGAAAGCCGGATTGTATCACGATTATTTGAAGGAGATTTTAACGCTCAAATCAATACGATTTCTCCTGCCTCAGTAGAAATAACGGAGATTGAGAAGGAACGTATGAGACATTAAGGATGGAATGGTTTTTCCTCCTTTGACAGGACTCGCTATAAAAGGATTTGCATTTTGAATAGTATTCAAACCACATCCAATCATTGACTTAATATTACAAAAACCGCTGATTCCCTGCGTAAAAAATAATTTGTAGAAATTTTTTTCCATCCTTTCCTTGCGTACAGTGTTAAATAAAAAATTCATGATTTTATGCTACTTCAATTATTAACTTATATTTAAATTGGACGTATTTCTATCAAACGGACCTATGTGCATTAAGACATGAGCCTTGAGACCCATAAGAATACATGCATACCAGGGCTCACGTCATAATGCACATAGTTCCGTTTGTTAGAAATACGTCCAATTGACCGAACTCACGAGAACAATTTCTCTGTTTCAATAATGGTGTAAAATATTGAATCCACAGCTTACAGGTTAATGTATAACTTACCAATATTTGTTAGGATCTAATTATTGTTTAATTTTTCTTTAAATCTTTCAAATAGATTCAAACTGCCGATACATGCGACAAACAGTCCCTAGTCTTTAAAATTACGAACATTCGATCAGCACCAGCTAAGCTAAACCAAAACCGGGTACCGGTACTTTTCAGGTCTTTGAAATTGTTAATTCATCCGCTAAATCCTTGACAAGTTGAAAATTGGCCGCAAAACAAAAACAAAAAAAAATTCTCACAGTAATATATTTGATCAAAAGGAAATATGTGCCCATGATTTGCGTGCTCAATAGTTCATTATTTTGCTTTATTTTATTCAGACGTAGTTCTTCTTAGTATGAAAAGTTCGAATAGAGAATTTTCAGGTGTCTGAAGTTTAGTAAATTTCATGTTTAAAATGAAACTAACGAGGAAACTGAGCACGAGGATATCATTGGTTTCTGAATTAAACAGTTATTAGAGGAAATAGGACAAAATAACGTAATCTACCAAAAAACGTACTTAAACGCGAAATGCCGCAAGAAGACGACACAGTGCGGCATATTTTCTCACTTTTAAATATATTTTCTTACAATTTCCCATTTCAGAAAGAAGTTATGAAAAACACTGCAAACTCAGCTCGAGCAATAAAAGTGAGAGAAAATTCTCCATTGTGACTTTTAGATTTACCAGAGAACGCGTGATAGCGTTTAGTATGAGTTTCCAAGTTGTATGCCATACGCTGAAACTTTAAGAAGAATATAAACACAATGACACGGTTCCTGAACTTTCCCGTCAAAATATTTCGAAGCCCAGTTTTTCGGTTGACTAGTCGTTCGGAT